ATAATCATTGTCTTACTTCAAGCGTTTCATTAGTTCGTTTAAGTGGAATTAAAGGATCTTCTTCACCATCTTTTGAAGAACTATGATTACATCTATCAGAATTTCTGTGAATTTCCATGTTATTTATATTGTCCGAAAATTTATATGTACAAGAAACATCTTTAACAACGTTGCAGCATTGCGAACGTGAACTATTGTTGTCCGTTACATTTTGAAGCGAACATCGACACGTATGGTATTTGCAAATCCCTTTATCGATATTCGCAGTACAATTTTCATGCGAATGATTTTTCGAATCCGATGTAAATATATTTTTGCATAAATTTCTTCGAATTCCCTTATTGTGAAATTTATCTTTACAATGCTTAAGATTAACATCATGTTTTTGTTTCTCATGATACGAACCGCAATTGCATTCCTTATCTATAATTTCAATATGATGTACACAACAGGAATGTAATTTTTCTTGCGAAGTATCTTTACATATCGATCGTTCTTTACGACACGTCGAAGAATTGCAGTTTTTACAAGAAGAAATACTAGTATTCGGACTGAAAGTATTATTCGTATGTCTTTTGTCACCTATATCATCTACCGAAGGATGCATTTTTATTGAATTTAACGATAAAGAATGGCAACATTGAGAAATATTGGATCTATTGAATTTTAATGGAATTTTCTGCTTTTTATTGGTCGAACACATAAGCGGACTCCCATTAAATCTAGTTTGCGATGTATTCGGCCAAAAATGGCATGTTTTCTTTTCAGACGATTTCTTTTCGGATTCCTCCACATCATCCTCATTATCACTCGTATATTCATTATTTATTTCTTTACCCCATACACTAATCGTTCCATTTATCTCAGACATTCGTACTTCAAGATTACCCAACAGATACGGACCACATTCTTGAATACGATTTTTTTCATCATCCAATTCATTCTTCGTCGATTCTCCTGCTTGAATTAGAAAACTTTTGTTTTTACTATTTTCATCCTCTCTGTATATGAAACATTTTACATTATCCTCACAATCGTCCGTTCCTTCCATCTTAGTTTCCACAGAAATAGGACCATTAATATTTTTATTAACCTCCGTACTTTCCTCTTGTTCTATTTTCGGCGATACATGTTCCTTAGAATATTTATATTCCACATCATTCGTACTATTAATACTATTTTTCCCTTCCAAAGATTCCACAGTTGTGTGAGGTATTTTAAAAGGTTTAACGAAAGTAGAAGAACCAGGCATTTCCGTTGCTTTTCTTTTCTTGGAACAGGATGTATGAATCGGAGAATCGCAATGTAAATTTGACGACTTATTCAAAGATTTTTCGTTTAATTGTTTCTCGTTATTTCTTATCAAAGGACTTTCAACTTTTGTCTTACCTTGCGTTATATTCGAAAGTGTTTGTAAAATTCTAGACGAGGTAATAAATGTTCGAGATAACGGATGCATTACTTTTTTTGGAACGTTAGCATCGGTGAGTACAATACTATCATCCGAATTAAGAATGGGAGTCAAATCAGGAGGTTTAATAGATATAGCCGGACTATAATCACTTTCTATCCATTGATCGTTAGAACTTCCCGTAGATGCAACACTACTACGAGATATTTTATTATTCGTTTCTTCCGAAGTTACGGTATCTTGATTAGAAATAGATTCTTTAATCGTTTCAGTTTGTACAGATGCAATTTTCGTTTCACACGTTCTATTTTCATTTTTATATTTTGCCAAAGAATTTTTTAAAACATCTAATTCTTGTTTCATTTTTATATTTTCGGTCAATACTTTTTGATAAGCATCTCGCAAATTATGAAACTGTGCGTCTTTTTGACTAAGCCGAGCCTTCAATTCAATCACTTCGGTATTATTCTCGATACTTACTTTTTCAGTCGTATTTATTTTTGTAAAATTTAAATTTTCCGATTCATCTTGCATCGTGCAAATACTTTTAACGCTTGCAATTTTCAAAGGGCAATCAACATTACTGTTGTCTATTTCTTGGGAAGTAATCATTTCTGCTTCGTTATATACTCGAGTTTCATTCGTTTTTTCTTGTCTGTGCTCGGATAATTCTTCTCTTCGACCAGTATTAGAATCATCATGCATGTATTCCTCATAACTTAACGTACGCAAATTTATAAACGTAGGTGTTGACTGATGATTATTAACTAGAGAAGATTGATTTATGCTACCGAATTTTATATTTTTATCTAAAGTATTTTGATATTCGATATGATGTTTATTAACGTCTACAGAACCGTTTCGTTTTTCTAGTTTATCATCAGAATTTTGCATACGTTTTTCATTTTGAACATCATTGTATTCAATATCTTTTCGACTATGTTTATATTGGTTTTCAATCACTCTATTAGAAGTTTTATTATTTTCTCCATTTTCTAATAATTGCGCATTATCGTACATTAAATTATTACTTTCAATTTCTTCTTGTTGTAAATCCTGAATAGCTTTTTCTACATAATCTTTTATAGTTTTATTCGTTATTCTCGTATTTTTTAATCGTTCGGTGTCACAGTCTGGTAAGTAAAAAGTAGAAATTACAATTTTTATTAATTACTTATACACGTATAATTTTAAAATTTGATTAATCAGTCACATGGAAGAATATCTTATATAAGCATGTATGTATGCACGCGCGCGCGCGCGCGTACACACACACACACACACACACACTTAATATTCAAAGAATAATATTTCTCTTCACAATTATAAATAATAACAAATAAAATAACAGACATATCTTCCAAGTGTAAAATAATAAAGTAATAATTTGAGAAAAATATTTCTTACTCTCATTCTCTTCATAATTCTTATTTATTGTAAATTCTTGTTCTTTCATACGTTTTTCCATCGATCTTCTATTCTGTTCTTTCACATTCTTTATGTATTGTTTTACTTTACTTTCCACGTGTTGATATTTAGACGGTATCATTTGCCTTTTCTGCGTAGTAGGATACAATATCGGATTTTGTTGCATACGTAAATAGTTATATCTAAAAGCATTTAAACTATGTCTCTTCTTGTTATATCGTAAATGAGCATTTTTTTTCGAAATACTTAAATCTTGCAAGGATAAACTTTTTTCTTTATGCCGTGGTTTTAATCTATTATTTAATATAAAATCATCAGATGCTCTATCAAAACATATCGGTTCATATTCCGTATCAATATCTTCGTAATCATCGTTATGTAGTCTCAAAGGATTTACTTCATCATCATCATCATCATCATCCTCATCTTCTTCCTCTTCATCCTCTAACATTGCATTTTCATGTTCATTCTCAAGCTCCATTTCATTCGTATCTACATAAATATATATCATATCATAATATATACATATATATTTATATATCATAATAGAAATTAACGTTTAATCAAATATCGTTTCATTAATAAGTAAAATATATATATATCATTTTCTTACCTTCGCTATCCACATATTCATCTTCATCTTCATCATTATACGGATGATTACTCTCTTCACCGGAAGATAATACATAGATACTACCTCCTCCTTGATCATCGCTATGATAAGGACTTTGACTATTATCTTCTTCTAATGGAATTCTGCTTTGTTGCTTAGCATTATTGATATCCGAATCTTCGCGTTTCGATGGAGTAGATACACTGATATACGTTGGCATTTCTTCGTCTTCCAACATAGGTTGTTCCGTTTCATTGTTTAACATGCACGTTTCACTTTTCGATTGTTCTTTATCGTGATTTTCCGTATTCATTTCTGCCTCAGTTTCTTCAGAAGTATGTTCGTTTTCTTCCGACATCGTGGAAGTTAATACTAAACATAAAAAATGTATTACGATTATGCGGAATTACACGAGCATAAAAAGTTCAAAATAATATAAACGCGTACTACTTTACCGCGATAATTTATCTTTTACGACATTTAATACCTACGATCGCTTTTCCGACAACCGCCATTACAGCTACTGCCGATGGCACCTGCACTTCAGTCCATTCGTATATCCTACATTTTTATCCGTTATTCCCTTTTTATTACGTATTCATTTAACAATATCTACATTTTTTCAATACTTAATTCATAATTAACAAACTTAATTTTTTTTACTTATTATCATTAATCATATAATAATACTATCTTTACATCGTAATTAAATTCATAATAGCGAGACTAATGACTCTCAAAAAAAGACAGGGCTGTATTTTATTTTAAGGAATGTTTATTTTATATCTCGTTCTTTTACGTTATATCAAAGATATAGATTTTATTTCTATATTAATATTTATTATTAGTGTTACTACCATTACTAATTTATTAATAACAAGTATTTTTTTTTATTAATCAAAATAATAATTTATTTGTGTATCTATAATTTAAGATTAATAGCGAAGCGTTTGACATATGTACTTTTTAGGAAAAATTAGAAAAAGAAAAAAAAAAAAGATCATATCACGATACATAACAAAAAAATGCTTTTGTAAATAAATCTTGACTTTAGAAATTAACGTTCCATCGTCCGGTATGCATACACCACTGATCGAATCGAATAGAAGGAACATGGAATTAAACCGTAATATCGCCACGTTGTTTCTATGTGCAGTGAACGATATCTTTCTGGGTACATTTCTAACAAAATTACTTTTCACGAAATATGACGACAAATGATATTATCAGTTGATTCATTATGATTTGTAAAAAACAAAAATATAAAAATTATTTAGCAAAAATCTAAATTTTTGTTGAACGATTAAAAATTTGTGAGGTTAACCTATATGTTTATATTCAATTACGAATAATGACATATTATCAAAAAAAAAAAAAAAAAGAAAAAATTCGCATAATAACGTAATTAATTTTTAAAAATTCTAAAAAAATCTAAATATTTTGTTAAATATTATAGCGAACATTATCTATGCTATTTTTTGCTGCATGAATTTAAATTAAATTTTTAATATAAAAAGATGTTTAAAATAGATTATGAAATATTCGATTAATAATTAATAATTTTCTATAAAAATATTTTTAAATTTTCATTATATTCACGTTTCTTATAAACGATCGTATCGATTGATATTCGTTGTATTTCGTAAAACGTGGTTTTACTTAGAAATATATTTTTTTTTCTCACAATTAAACGTAACTAATAATGTTTTAATATGGTGTAATTTAAGAAAAATTAAAAAAGTATGTCTATCGAAAATAACGAAATTTCCGTGACCATTGAATTTGGGTAATATCGAATCAATCAATTAACCTAACTTTTCCTCAAATTATAATATATCGAGTTATTTGCTAAATAATTTCAGAGGTGGGGCAGAATTACTTTTCGATAAAAAAAAAGGCACGAAGTAAACTTACCTGGAGTAAATGAATGTAAGTTTTATAAATTTTTTTTATCGATGTAAATATAATTTGTCACGTGAATTTTATAGGGACCATACAAAAGCTACTTTTTTGGATAACAGATAATCTGTTAAAGGAACGACAGGAACTTTTTATACAAGGGGATACTGTGTAAGTTATTAAATCTTATCATAATTTTATATCATTGCTATAAACTTTCCGAGCGATAATTTAAAATTTTACAAAAATTATTTCCCTGGCACGTGTAGTTTCTTGTAACGACACATGTACCGCACCATAAACATACGATAACGTGACAATGTGTTAGTTCTCACTTGCCAATTTTATTGTAAAAAGTTAAGATGGCGACTTTTGAATTCTATGGCGCTTTCAAAGAGGGCAGCATAAATCGGATTAATAAGAGTACATATGCACAGATAAGGTACATGATCTTGATACGCATTCATAAACACAGTATATGTATAAACAGTATATGCATTTACATATTCGTGTAAATATATATATATATGTTTGTTTTATCTAAATATAACATCAAATCTTATAAAGAAAAAATATTTTTATAAAAGTTGACGTACAAAATTTGATATAAAAAAAAAAATATATATATAATATTTAATAGTTTATGCAGTATTAATAATTTTTTTATAAAACGAAGCATATAAATCGTATCAATTTAATTTTTTTAAGCAAAATAATAATTTTTATTCACGTAATCTATGTAGCTCGTTATTTCCTATAAAAAAAATATCAAATTATTTCGATATTTATTTATTTTAAATCTTTAAATTTGAAACTTATCCTAAAAAATAAAAAATACGCGATACATCATCGTCGTTCTTTTCCTTTCGGAAGATAAATTTTACAAATTTCAAGTTAAATATAATTTATATTATAGTAAATTTAAATTTAAAGATTTTTCGATACAAGTATAGCTTATTCTTTCTAGGAAATAATTCTTTCTAAAAAAATAACGAGCTGCTTCTATCTTCTTTTTAAAAAATTCTTTTTTTTTAAAAATTAAAATTGATCTTCATATATATTCTATGTGCCAGTGTTATAAGATTTTTTTTTTTTATTAGATCCGTGATAAATAAATAGATAATCCGTGATATAAATATAATAAAAAATACAGATGTATAACGACAATGTATTCAACGGATGATCAATACAATACTTTTTTAAAAATTATTTCTTTATATTATCGATATAAATATCTAAATACGCATAACATATATATATATATATAAATGTTCATTCTATCCATTATTTTATATTTATAGGCGTCCAGGAATTTTGGTTCTTATAAATGACATCGATTGGGAATTATTGGTAAATATAAAAATCATTATATTTTATATATACATATTATGTATATATAATTATTATATATCATGTGTGTACGTACAGCGTATATGTATAGTATTCGCACGTGTTGGTCATTTTATTTTTGTCAGTTTGATACAAGGATTTTAATTTTTTTTTATTCTTTCAAGTTACATAAGAATGATTTTATGAAAATTTTTAGGGTGAAGGCAATTATAAAATAAAATCAGGCGATACGATATTGTTTATATCCACTTTACACGGAGGATAAGAAAAATAAAATTGCAAAAAGAGAAGATAAAAGTCGATGCAGAGAAGATCGAAGATAGTACCGCATAACATAAGTGGAATTTGAGTTCAGAAAAACATAATAATTTCGCGGAATGTTTGTACGATGGTGAGATACGTGTATACGCGCATAGTATAAAAAATAAAAATGTTTATTCATACGATTATGCATATTCAATAATATCATGTCATTTATCGTTTTCCTCTTACTTATCATCTACGTAATTATTAGTTTTTAATACAAGTTTTTAATACATCGATCTTTTACTCATGAATATTCTTATAATACAGTCGCAAATCGTGGATACATATATCTAAGAATCGAGAGATAATTTTACGAAATGGATTAGATATATAACATACAACATATCACGTATCGAAACTCACGAAGAATTTTCTTTGTGGATTAAAACGTGCGAATATCGGTTTAGCCGATTCAAAAGTAATAATTTTGATATCATTGACAACGAACGATCAAAGCAGGTAAAAAATATTCGAAAATAAGTTTGGAATTACAAGAAGCACTAGATCAAAAGTCATATCTTTCGGATCCGTGGAATACAAAAATAAAATATAAGACAATTTTTGAGCGAAATTATTACGATGTTATGAAATTACAACGAATATCGATATTATTCTTAATAAATAGTTATAATATATCGTAATTCCTATCATAATCGCATATATTAGATCAGATTGTACATTTTAAACATTTATCGCGGTGTACATAAAAACAATAGATAAACGATTGCATCGTGTTAACACATGCATCGTCAAGAGCGTACGCGTATAAACGAATTCAACATCGCAAAAGTTTTTTTTATCAATATCTCTAAAAATTAATAAAAATTGTAATAAAAAAAAAAAAACGAACGAAGTCGAAACTATAATTTTCCTCCGACATTTCTCCTCTCTTCCTTCCGCGGGTTCGAAAAGAAATTTGGCCAAGAGATACATTTTATCTTTAAATTATTATTTATTATTATTTATAACTTATTATTCGGTACGAGAAATATTAAATATTAATTAAAACGCATCTATAAAGATACATCTAATCGTTCTACCATTCTTCTTTTTTAATCTTTTTTAATTTTTTAAAAAATATATCTCAACCGACGATACATTACGAGGATACAGATATCATCGATATACGAGGATAGGAATGTACGTACGAAATCTTTGTTATCTTTTCCAATAACCGAACTAACTCGTCCTCGAATTTATCACACTCATATCAAAGAAGATTTAATAAAAACGTATCGCTTTAAAAAGAAAAAAGAATTAAACATTTGATTAAACTATTACTTATAATATACTCGTATAAAATTATATAATATAC